ATGAAAATATAAGTTCCATTATTATAAGTCCTGGAAAAAATATAAGAGAATAGAGCCTTTTCTTGTGAGTGTGTGTGCACGTACGTGTGCACACCTTAATGTGTGTTGTGTATGTGTGTATAAAGGAATGAGAGGTAAGAGATATTTCCTACAAATATGGTAACTAGAAAATACCTTTTCAAAAACACAACATATAAAATGAAACTTGAAGGATAGAATTATACAAGCTCTTTATAAAGAGCTTGAGGAAGGATCAGTCTGACAGGTAAAACAACAGATTTATGATAAAAATCACAGAATATTTCAAAAGCATAAAGGAAGTCAGTGTTGCAAGGGTGAAGTAAAGTGAAAAAAAAAGTGGAAAGAAGTTAGATAAATGGGTGGGAAAGGACTTAGAGCATAGAATTTCATTCTAATTATCAAGAGAAACCATTGATGAATTTGATTGGGGCAAGTCAGCCTCATGGAGTCCCTGTGGTTGAGATGGGCTTACAACTAGGGTCATGAAAGACTTGCTTATAAATTAAACTATGATAATAACGTGAAATAAAATGGTGAATGTGCATCTGGAGGAAAAATAACTTTTAATTCTATTGTAAGTATACTAATAAAAGGATTTGATGAGGAATTGCATGTTTACATATGAGGTTAACATTTTCTCTTTTTCTAGAGAAAGTGGGTAGTAGGCCGAACCATTTTTTAGGGTGGCTCTGACTACATCTCCTCCATCAGCTTTAGAGTCCTAGGTGTCTAGTGCTAAAAGATCAGCTTCTGCTAAAGTCTCTCAGGGTATTGAGGTTGGAGGTGGTGAGAGTCCTTCAAGAGTTAGACTTTGTCTTCTTAGATCCCAGTAGTCTCTACATGTTCTAATTGTTCTTAGTCTTGAACATTATCAGCTTCTCTTTCCAACTTTTGATCTAGCCAACTTGTTGTGACTCTATACCTGAAACAAGACAATAGCCCTGAATAATTTTCTCCATCAGCTCCATTCATCTCTACTACAATTTTTAATTTTTTAAAATCACTTGTTCTACTGCATTTTTTTATCATAATGTAATGGGTAGAAATATGCCTATCAGTACAAGAGGGAAAAAAATGGATTAGAGGTAAGGAAGATAGTGAACAGAGTAATGAAATATACTTCTTGTCTCTCCTCCTATGTTCCCATGATTTGTGAGGTAAGACCATGAGTTTGGTCTTCACAAATGATGGAAAGTTGGGGTTTTCCAGAATGGAGAGCACATTTAATAGGGAAACATATCAGGATATTTGATCACTGTTGAATGACCATATAAGGTTTGTGGTAATTTAAAATTTCCACTTAAAACTTTTAGTTACGGAAAAGTCACCAAGCAAAAACAAATAGCTGAGTTTTAAATCACAGTTGAAAAAATGCTGAAGAAATTTGTAAAAATATAAAGGAGGATTTAAATATTGTACTTAATACTTCTAGTTTGTGTTTTGAACTAATATTATTTTTTCAGGAGGCTATTACAAATTTTAATATATTAATAATTGGTTTTATAATTTATAACATCTTGACAAAGACTATAGTGTTTCAGGAAAATAGTGAGTTTTTATTTTTATTTTTATAATTCTAATTTTCAAAACCACTTATATCAGAAGAAGAATCTGTTGAACTATGTAATGGAAATAATTCATGTCAGAATTTATATAATAATGAATAACCAGAAGAGAATTTGATTTGTCATATACAAGTTTGACAGCACAATTCCATAAAAAAACTGAAAAACAAAATTCATGTTTATATTCTATGCAGATATACCTCCTTTGTAGTATTTATGATTGTGTGCAAATGGAAATATTGCATGCTGGTAGGAAGGATTACAATCTGAAACTACCTGGCATAAATTTTATACTTTTATAGTTAGGTTTTGGATCTCTATTTTCACATGAGATTTTATGGAATAGTTACATTTTCTCTCCAAAGTCTTTGTAGACATTTCCTCTAAAGGTCAAAAATATGTGCATTTTAAATCCTTCTACAATTAATTTCTGGTGAATTTGTATTTTAAATAATTCCTTCTTTGACTTGAAAATGATCTAAATCATCCAAAATTATAGACAAAACAAAAATTGCTGACATTCCCAAGGGTCCCATCTAATTTTACAAGTAATTATTTTAATTATATAATTAGGAAACATATTTAAAGACAAGCCCACAAATGTTTATTAGTTTAGAAGTCAAAGGAAAGAGATCAATATATGAATTTGTGCTCATCAGCCAAACATTGTGATCAGAAAGCCTTTGATGTATCATTTCAAAGGTATTTAAAAATCTCTAAAAAATATAATAGATAATTTTAAGTACCTGTATTAGTCAGTTTAAGTGGAGTTCTTCACTTTAAGTTGTGAATCATTTCTTATCACAAACTCTGTTCATTTCTGTTGATTTTTCTTGACTAAAAGTTTAAAAGCATTTTTTCTTCACAAGTTATCTTATGAATATGATCAATGATAACATTAGCAAAAACATTACAAGCTACCAATATTAATTTTCTTATGTATATGAAAAAATACTGCAAAAATACTTAAAGGGAAAAATAACTACTGTTTGAAATGATATTATTATACACTTTTACTATTGATTTTTCCTTATTTTAAATTATGTAAAATCAAATGCACATAAAAAAGCATATCATAATTAGCATTCATGCACTTGCAGTACAGAATTTAAAGCAATTTATATTTATTTTAGGTAGTTTTAATGTGGTGTGTGTGTGTGTGTGTGTGTGTGTGTTTTAATAAGCTGATGTTTATAGAACAGATCCAGTGTGCTTATAATGCACCAAAATAAGAGATTGTCAGACAAAGTGAAAGTGTACATCTTCATTTGCAAAACAAAAACTCGGGCCAAACTGGAGTCAGGGAGTTTGGCATATTTGAGGATTGGTGAAAAGTTGAGTGAATTAAGAGAATAAGCCTAAACTGTTAAGGCTGAAGGGCTTAGGGACTTTGACTTCTGCCAAAAGATTGTGAGTTTAGATTCCAAGAAAAGTTTCCAAGCTAGGATTTTATCTGTAGGCAAGTAGAAAACAAACAAAGAGGATTAAATTGAATGCTAGTCAAATTAGAAAAAAACTGAGTTGTTGGAATTGAGACTGTCACAGAATGTGAATGAATAGCTGCAGGTTAAATAGAATATTGTTTAATGAGCCAATGCCACCTGAGATTTCATCAGAAGGTGATAAATTGAAAGCTAGTGTTTTTTTAAAATCAAATTGCTCTTCTTCTTAATGTTATAGGCAATTAAGAATTCCTATTTTAAGTAATTCTTTTTAAACTTGTATTTCATCTATTTCCCAAATACATAATGACTTTATTGTTCTCTTAAGGAGGAACATTCTTCCAGTTGTATAACTTTGAGTAAATTTCTGGAAATTTAAAGATAATCTGACCCTGGAAAAATTCTTAAATCTATTTAGTGGAACTTTCTAAATTTATGTGGACAATAAATTTTATTGTTCCATAGGTTGTTCACATTTTCTTTTCTGTAAAATAACACTCAGGTCTTTTTGCTGTGCTTTCATTTTTCTTAAAATTTATTCATACATTCTGGATATAAATCCTTTATAGTTTCTAGGTAGAAAATCCTCCTTTCTATTTTTCAAATCTTACAATAACATACTTCATGGTATCTTATGAATTTTGATAAAAATAAATTTTAATTTTAATGAAATTATCTTCACCAAGCTTTTATTCCATGTTATTACTTTTGTATCTTGTTTAATACATTTCCATAACCAGAACTTATTAAGATATACAGCCTGGATAAACTTTGATTATAGATAGATGTTTCATCAATAAATCAAGGTTAAAAACAAGTAGAAGAGAGAAAGGGGACAGGTGGCAAAATATAGAGAAAGGAAGCAACACAAATGGAAGAGAGTAAACCAACTCCAACATCTGTGACTTTGTGCACTTCATGTTAAACTCCCTGTCTTATCTCGCTCCTCTATGACTCTTATTTATTACACACAACTTGTTACTTGAAATTTATTTATCGTTCACAAGGGCTTGTACAAACAAGGAATGAGTACAGGGTGACGCCCCTAGAGGGATTACAGTGCTGGAGGACTCCTTCAGTGTCCTGCTCTGGTTCTACCACTCTGCTGCTCTCATCTCAGATCCCAGAACTGGCTGATACAAATTCATCAGTTGCTAGTAGAATCCTTATCAAGATACACACACACACACACACACACACACACACACACTATAGTCCACTTAGATGTGTGACCCCATTTCTATTAAAATATGAGATACTGAAACAGAGGGAATATTGATCTTTACTTCATTTTATATGACATAATATCTTAGACACTTAGTAAATACATTAGAACTTAAGTGAAATAAAAAGGTGAGTAGAGTATAAAGCCAACTGAAAAAGTTCTAAGTACAGTAAGGCCCTTGGTCTAGTCCTCTAATTTTTAGCATGGCCTATGGTAATTATGGCCAAGCACATCTGATAAATCGGCCCAGGTATTGGAGAACGTAAGGGAAACTCTGTAATTGATGACTTAATACTTAGAATCCACCTACTTTGTATGGTACATTAGAAGTTTGTGCATATACTTATACTTTCAATAGAAAAATGCCACATATTAGGGCTTTAGTGAAGAAATGTATTTATCTCTTCATTTATGTATTCATGTGCTTTGGGAGAAGAGAAAGAGATACAATTTTAATATATATTTCCTAATTTTATTATGCTAATTAAAATGGGTATTTTCCAGTTGCTTTATTGTGTTATTGATTTTTCTCCATATTTAAATTTCTAAGGAAAAAATGACAATGAATGTTCACTCTTATTTTATAATAAAACCAAATATTCACTTTTCTCTGGCATTAAGCTTCTGATTGCAGGCCTTACCTAAAGAATTCCTGTTGGGCACTATGGATGTACTAAAAAGAAGAGGTAGATATGCAAGTGGAAATGGTATGTTTTATAAATTGTGGGTGAGAAAAGACTAAGAATTGTTGGGATAACACTATGCATTAAGAAAATATAGAGGGTTGGGCTGGGGCTGGGGCTCGGTGGTAGCGCACTTGCCTGGGCATGTGTGAAGCACTGGGTTGGATTCTCAGCTCCACATATAAATAAATAAAATCAAGGTTTATCAACAACTAAAAAAAATGAAAATATAGAGGCTAGATTTTGCTGGGAACTCTTCTGGATAACAAACACTGGATAATTACAAAGAGAAACATAAAAAAGATTTGATGAGTAGGAGGTGATGATACATTTATGCATGAGTCCATCCTGGTCTTTTAAAAATTTTGACCTATTGTATATATATTGTATATATAAAACTCGTTTGTTGTACTTAGAAGTTTTTGAATTGTCAGAATCTCCAGATATTTCCTAACATAAAATCTTTACAGTATCTATCATGTAATGCTAAGACTAAAGCTTATTTTGAGTGGTTTCAACCCACCAGAAAGAGAATGGGTAAAACAATAAATACCAAAATAAATACCTAATGTTAAATATCAAGTATGTACTGCATACTAGAATTCTCTAGGGGTGCAAAGTATAAAAGAACAAACAAATATAGCCTCTGTTACACACACACACGCACACACATTTTCTTTGTTTAAATATGGGGAATAGTGGTTTGAACCAAGATCTCCCTTTTGGGTTACATTGGCTTTGTAATTGGTTTTCTCCAGAAGAAAAGTCAATATAGTATGCTGACAACAGATTAATACACTAAGTTAACTGTCCTTTAGGTTCCTTCAAATATCCATTGTTATAATAACAATCTCATGTTAAAATAGAGTAAACTGAAAATAACCCTATCCTGACAAATAATTTCTGAAGGATGGCCTGAAACAATTCAAAGTCAATTGAAACAAAGATAGATGATCAGTGGAGAAATCCAGTATTTGGAAGGAAGAGGAGGAGGAGAAAGAGAAAGAGGAGGAGGTGGTGGTGGAAGAAGAGGAAGAGGACTGAAAAGCATTTAATAGCAAATACTAATGGTGAGATGAAGAGTGGTTGTTTTCAGTCAAATTTATCTAATTGAAATGGCTTTCTAATTTCAATTTAAGTCATATCTGAAACAAGTTAAATTCTACCCTGCATTGTGTCAGATCATAATGGCATGACATTACAAATCAATGATGGAATAAAAAATAAAAGCTACTCAACACCTGGAGACTAAATAATATGCTACTGAATGAACAATGGGTTGCAAAAGTCATCAAGGGGATTAAAAAAATTGTTAGAGGTGAATGAGAACACAGATACAATGTATCAAAGTCTCTAGGACAGTATGAAGGCAGTACTAAGAGGAAAGTTCATTGCTTGAAGTTCATTCCTTAAAATAAAAAAAAAAAGTCAACAAACAAATGACTTGCCACTACATCTAAAAGTCCTAGAAAAAGAAGAACAAATCAACACCAAAAGCAGTAGAAGACAGGAAATAATTAAAATCAGAGCTGAAATCAACGAAATTAAAACAAAGGAAACATTGAAAAAAACTGACAAAACAAAAAGTTGGTTCTTTGAAAAAATAAAATTGACAAACCCTTAGCCATGCTAACAAAGAGGAGAAAGAAAACTCAAATTACCAGCATACATGATGAAAAAGGTAATATCACAACAGACACTACAGAAATAAAAAATCTCTTATCATAATACCTGTGTTCCAAATATATACTCTATTAAGAATTCCTGTTCATATTCAACTTGATGTCTCTGTCCTTCTCATGAACTCTTCTTGACTTTAGGCAGAATTTCTTACTCTGTCTTCCTTTCAAAAATAGTCATGAAGACTGCATTTAGGTATTTTGTTGTACTTTAATTGTATAAATTCCTTAACAAATAATTACTTCCTTGAAAACAAAGCTGACATCATTTTTTGAAGATTCATCCCTGAGATCAGTATCTTTCACACATTGGACACACGTATATACACAAACAGACACACATATGTGTATATACTTTCATAAAAAAATATCTGTCTTGTGACGGATTTTGTGTGTATGTGTGTGTGTGTTTGTGTGTGTGTTATTACTTTGGTTAAGTAGAGGATCTTTCTAAGCAATTGTAAAGTCAAGGTATGATTTTTATCTTATTTGTTGTTTTCCTAATTTCTTTTTCTCTTACTATTAGAACTCATATAAAATACAAAGAGGCTGTTCATCTATCTATTCAAACATGTTGGAAATTTTGCTGTGTCTATTGACTGGTAGTGCTACTACTGATAGATTCCAAATTCTAAGAGGCATCATAGATTTTCCTGATACTGTGGGAAAAAAAAATCCCAAGATGATTATAACCTAGAAACAGCCTCTCATTCATTCTGAACTGACTTCTATTTTCTTTGAACCCATTATCTTCCATTCTCAAAACAGTTCAAACTCGAAAAAAAAATGATTAATATTTTTGAATTTCATTTCCTTAACCTAATAATATGCCTTAATTACTACTGATGTATGATATACAAATATGGAAAGTGATGTAATATCTAGTATTTAAAGAATGACTTTGGGGCTGGAGCTCAATGGCAGAGTGCTTGCCTAGCATGTGTGAGGCACTGGGTTTGATACTTAGCACTACATAAAAATAAAACAAATAAGATAGAAGCATGCTGTCCATGTACAACTACAAAAAATTTTTTTAAAAAAGACTTTGATATTTGCCTTCACTTGAATTCTTACATTGCAGTTTGTTTCACAATCATAAAAGTCAATTAAATAAGCGATCAACTTTGTTTCCTTGCCTATTTCTTAATGTCCTAAAATGAATTTGGATACCCCCAAATATTATCACATAATTAATTTAATGCCTTAAGACCTATCAAGGAAATTCTTATTATAGTAAAAGAAGTCTGACGAAAGAATGTTAAAGCATACTTCTATGGGGAGGGGCAGGGAAGAGAGAGGAGAGATTGATTTTTTTTCCATTTGAAAACTGTCCCACAGCAGAGGTTTAGAACTTTAAGCTGAGATCAAGCCATGGCACCCTTTGCATGTTATCGGTCATTTATACTAGGTTTGAATGACCCACTTTCTTTTTCTAGATGCACTAAAAGTGAGTAGAAAATACGTGAGAAGTTATTTTCATCAGAAGGGATGCTTGGCATTGAATTTATTTTGAATTTACAAGAAATCACTTCTTTATCTAATGGACCCTTTAGACACCTGCTTTTCTCTTTCCTTGAAGTAACTGAAACACCAATATAGGTAAGCCACTATGTCATCCTCTATAATTAGATGGGTGATCTTATCACACTTGATAATGTATCTCTCATGGTATTTTTTAATTAGCCGAACATGAAATTTTAAGTCTTGACAAGATTCAACCAGTAAAAGAAGCTCAGTTATATTAAAATGAGTTTTTAAAAGATAGGTGAATATATTCATAATATTGAAACAGATTACTGTATAAAATCTGGTATTTGCTAAATGAAAATGGAGAACCTGGTATCAGATTAAGTCAGTTCTCCTAAACCTGTGCATTGTTCCTTGTTTAGATTGTAATTATTAAAAAGAACAAAATTATCATAACATATTTTTAAAAAATAGACTAGGTTATTTTCACACAAAATTGTGAAATCATTCATATTATGATATTCATCAAATATACTAGATTCATACTAAATCACTAAAATTAATGTACCTAGCCAAATGCCATCTTCCTACTATTTCTTAAGCTTGGTTTCTTTTCAAAAGGGTTAACATCAATCAGATACTCATTTTTAAATTTATATCCTTTATTTTTAAAACCTTAAGGTTTAAAGAAAAACTGAACAACTAGTACAGATTTTGCATATACCCAACATCTTCCATTAGTATGAACGACATGCTGATTTTGGTGGTATTATTAACGAAAGTCTGTAGTTTACATTAAGTTTCACTTTGGGTTGTACAGTTCCATGGGTTTCACAGAAGCATATTGCCATTTATCTACTTTTATAGTAATATGCAGAACACATTGCCTTGAAAATGCCTTGTGCTTTACCTATTTAACCCCATTCCCCTCAAACTTCTGGCTATAACTCAACTTACTATTTCTTTCACTTTGCCTTTTCTTAGAGATTTTATCGCATAATTATAATCTACAGTTCAGACTGGCTTTAAGATTCATTTCAGCTTCCTCCATTTCAGTTTCCTACATGAATTAATCTATTTTTTAATTGTGGAATAATATTTCATTGCAAACTATAAACCAGTGATTATTTATCCACTCATCTATCAGAGCACATCTTGGTTGTTTAAAAATTTTTGGTATAATATATAAAGCTATTGAAACATTTATATGCAAGTTTGTTATGGACACGGTTTTCATCCTCACATTGGAAACTTAGAGCACAATTGCTAAATTATGTGCTGAGGCTGGGTTTAGCTTTATATTTTTCTGTTGTGATTTTTTTATTCTTGCCAGTGACAAATATAAGTTCTTGCTGGTCCATAGCCTAACTAGAATTTGATGTTCTCAAGAGTTTTGGATGTTAGACCTTCTAACAGGTGTGTTGTAATATCTTTTCTTAATTTGAAATTATATAATGACATAAGATGTTGAACGTTTTTTTGTGATTTATAAATCTTTGATGGAGGCCTTTGTTTGTTTTTGTTATCCTATCATTAAGTTCTAAATATCTTTGTATTAGGCAAATATTTTCTTCCAGTCTAAGTTTCTCTTTTTCTTTTTTTTTTTTTTTTTTTTTGAGAGAGAGAGAGAGAGAGAGAGAGAATTTTAATATTTATTTTTTAGTTTTTGGCAGACACAACATCTTTGTTTGTATGTGGTGCTGAGGATCGAACCTGGGCAGCATGCACGCCAGGCAAGCGCACTACCGCTTGAGCCACATCCCCAGCCCCTCTTTTTATTTTCTTAACAGTGACTTTCCTGGCAAAGAAGTCTTAAATTTTTGAAGGAAATTAAAGAGATATGGATAGGTAAAGAAGAACTCGAATTAGCACTATTGGCTGATGATATGATTCTATACTTAGAAGACCAAAAAAATTTTACCAGAAGTTTTAAATTTTAATAAAGTTTAACTTATTTTTTAAAAAAAATTATTTCATAGGTCGTGCTTTAGTTGTACATAAAAACTTATCAAACTAGTGATTACCTACATTTTTCCCATTTTACTTTCCAGAAATTTTATAATTACAAATTTTATGTTAGGTCTAACATCCATTTGGTTTAATTTCTAAAGCATAAATTCTGTGTTGAAATTTTTATTTCAGCATACAAATGACTGATTGTTATAGGACCATTTTTGAATAGACTGGGTTTCCTTTACTACTTTGTCAAAAGTCAGTTGACTATATTTGTGGGGGTGTGGTTCTAGGCATCTATTGAGTTTCATTGTTTTACTATTGTTTCTTTTACCAATCCCACAATGCCTTGATGACTGTAGCTTTATAGTAACTCCTGAAGTTGGTTAGCACCAGTCTTCTGAATCTGAATCTTCTTTGGTGTTGCACTGGTTATTCTGGGTCTTTGGATTTTCCTTATAAAATTTACAATCAGTTTTTCAATATCTGCAAATTCAATTGCAATGGCACTGAGTATATAGTGCAAGCTGGAAAGCAACTCCACCTTAGCAATATTGAGTCGTCCTATTCATGACCATGGATATCTGTCCAGGTATTCAGAGGTTCATTCATTTCTTTTATCAGACTTTTGTAGTTTTTCTCATGTGGATGTTTTTATGTTTTGCTAGATATATATACCTAAGTATTAACTTAAATTTCCAAGTATTCACTACTGGTATATATGGAAGCAATTGCCTTGTGGACATGAACCTTTTATCCTGCACCTTGATACGATCCTATATTCTTTCCTGGAGTTGTATTGTTATGGTTGCTATTGTTGATTCTTCATTTTCTACCTCAAAAATCTGTGAATAGGAGTTTTCTTCCTTCCTTCCCATTCTATATATTTCTTTTTTTCTTCTTCACATCTTATTGCCTTAGCAATGACTTCCAGTACAATGTTGAATAGGAATAAACAGTTCTTTGTTTGGAATCATAGATTGAAAGTGTCCAGTTGTTTCACCATTAGGAAAACTGTTAGTGGTAGATTTTCCTTCTCTTTCTTTGTTTCTTTTTATTTTTTATTTTTTGGATGTTCTTCATTAAGCTAAAGATGTTCCTCTATTCCTAGTATGTAGGAATTTTTATCTTGAATAGGTGCTTGATTTTATTAATTTTTTTGCACCTATTGATAAGATTATATAACTTTTTTCTTTAGAATCTTTTGATGTGATAAATTACTTTAACATATTTTTAAATATTGAATCAGTCTTACCTGTGGGATAAATATCATTGGTTTATAATGTATAATTCTTTTTACACAGTGTTAAGTTTCATTTGCTAATATTTTGTCAAGAAATTTTGTATCTGTGTTCACAAAAGATAATAATCAATTTTCCTTTGTTATAATGCCTTTTTTCTGGCTTTAATTTTAGGTAATACTGGCCTCATAGAATGAGTTAGAAATTATTCTTTTGTTTATATTTTTGGGGAAAAGATTACAGTGAATTAGTGTCATTTCTTTCTTAAATATTTGATTAAACTTCCCAGTGAAATCATTTGGATCTGGTGCTTTGTGTTTTGAACGTTTATTTATTTTTTGTCCAATTTTTAAAATAACTACAATTGGGTTTATTTGGATTGTTTATTTTACCTGTGTGAATTTTGAGAGCTTATATATTTCAAAGAGATGTTCTGTTTCATGTAATTTTAAAGTTTGTGAGTGTAAAGCAGTTCACAATTTTATTGTCCTTTAACATTCATTGGATAAGAAATGAAGACCTCTCCTTCCTTTCCAACATTAATAAACTGTATCTTCTCTTTTTTTCTCATGTTCAGCTGAGCTAGATGTATCTTATTGACATATGCAAAGAATGAGCTTTGTTTCCATTGTTTTTCTGTCTTTCTTTGTGCTCTCTATTTAATTGATTTTTGCTCTAATATTAATTATATTTTTTTGTGTTTGGGCTTATAGTGCCTTTATTTTTCTAGTTACCTTAACCTGGAAGTTTGTTTAATTTTAGTTTTCCCTTTGTAAAGTATGTATTCAATAGTATAATAATATTTAAATACAAAATATTTATATTTTAATATCTCCTGAGGCTTTGTTCATAATCATATATTATTTAGAAATATTTTTCTTGATCTCCAAATATGTTGGTCTTTTCAATCTGTCTTTCTGTTATTTATTTTTTGTATAACTCCTATATTTAAGGGCACATATTGTATCATTTCTATTTTTATAAATTTCTTAATGGATGCTTTATGGACAAAATATAGTCAATTCTGGTGAATGTTCCTTATGAGCTTCCCAAGAATGCATAATATGCTATTTTTTGAATGAGTAATTTTATAAATGTCAATTAAATCCATTTGATTGATAGTGTAGTTTGTTCTTTACTGATTTTCTTTTTAGTGGTTATGACAATTACCAACAGAGATGTGTTAAAATCTCTCATAATATGTTTGTACATCTCCTTGAATTTCTATTAGTTTATCAGATATATTTGCTGTACTGTTGTTAGGTACATTTATTTTTAGGATTGTTATACCTTTTTGATGAATTTCTTTCTTTTTCTTCATACAGTGTTTATTGTTGTCCCTGATAATTTTTCTTTTTCTGAAGTTGCCTTTTTCAGAAATTAATATAGCTGCTCTCTTTTGATTGACATTAGAATGGTATATTTTTCTCCATATCTTTATGTTATTTTTTTCCTCATATTTAAAATATTTAAAGTAAGGTGTATTTTTAGGGGGTGAGAGCTACCAGAGATTGAATGCAGAAGCACTCTGCCACTGAGCCATGTTCCCTAGCCTTATCTTGTATTATATTTAGAGACAGGGTCTCACTGAGTTGCTTAGTGCCTCGATTTTGCTGAGGCTGTGTACTCTTGATCCTCTTGCCTCAGCCTCCTGAGCCTCTGGGATTACAGGCGTGTACCACTGCACCCTGCTAAAGTGAGTTTTTTTTTTTTTTTTTCTTTATGGATCACATAAAATGGGTCTTGATTCTTTTGATTGACTTGATAATTTTTTTTGGTAAATCTTGAAATTACATGGTGTGAATTCAGGAACTTTATTCTTGTTTTTGGAATTATCCTGGCTATTGAAATTTCCTATCTTTGTGAATAAACTTATTAATTGTATAAAACAATTGTCTGTATATATTAAGGTGATCATGTGGATTAAAATTTATCCAT